ATGGTAAACGGAGCAACCCAAATGGTATGTTATAACCCTGTAAATGGAATGACAAAGGTATAAGAACAACAAATGTAAAAAAAAAAAGAATAATAACTATGTGAACCTATAATTGTATATGGAGAACAAAAAATAAAACTTTTCAAAAGAAAATTAGGACGCTTGGCAACCGGTTCATAATTTAGAATGGTTTCAGCATCCTGGAGTCACGTGATCCCTTTTTGCGACCTTCTGGGAAAGCCCGATTCACTTTGCAACCGTCTGACTGACTTAACAACGGTGACGATTCCCTTAACGACAGTGGCAAGAAATGTCGTAAAAGGGGGCAAAACTCAACTTAGCCACTGTTTCGCTTGGCAATGGAAAGGGCGGGCTCGCCTGTGGTCGTAAGTCGAGGGCCCTCAGCCACAAAGACCTAGATTCAGGCTGATCCCGATGAATCCAAACCCACCGTGTTATGCTTAGCGCTAGGTGTTGATTGGACCCATAAATGGTTGCAAGGTGAGGACTAGCTTAGGCAGGTCCAGAGGGATCGCTAACAATAATCGACAAGGAAACAATATAATAAAATATTATAAACAAACCAAAGAGAAAAAAAAACCACAGATTTTTTTTAAAAAAACCTGGTAATCTAGTGACCAAGGGATGCCACCACAAATTCCTCACGCAAACCGCACACATACGGGCTCCCACTTGACACGAGATAAAAAATCTCTTTCCTCTTTAAGGGGCTTCCAGACCTCAGGCCCAGGTGGGAGAGGGCAGGTGTCCAAACACAACCACAAGCCAACGGGGGGCTGACTGAATGATGGGCACGGGCACAGCGAGGGGAGTGAGACGACGGGCAGAGTCTAAATTGGATCAATAGATAAAACACCCCTCCAAGTTTCTTTCAGATTCTGCCACTCGTGGAAAAATCCAGCCTTGCAGGTAACAGCATTGATTTTCACAAAGGCAGAGACAACAGCCAGTGAGTGATACCAGAGTAAAGGGAAAGGTTCCCCTTACACATAGGTGCCAGTCATTCCTGGCTCTAGGGGGCGCTGCTCATCTCCGTTCCAAAGCCCAAGAGCCAGCGCTGTCCGAAGACGTCTCCGTGGTCCTGTGGCCGGCATGATCAACGCTGAAGGCGCNTAAGACTTTGTTTCTGCTGGCACAGCGCTTGATCAATCTAACTCTCATCAACCAGTTAAAAGAGCTTTCCAAAAGGAAAAAAAAAGTTTTTGCACTCTGCAATCCTCCCCAAAATAGCCCGTTTTTCGCAAAAACAAGCCCGTTTTTTTTAAAAGGCATGAATAGCCTTGGGGGGGGGCTTGCAGAGTGCTCCCGGAGGGCTAAAAACAAGCAAAAAACCACCCCATTTTTCATGAAAACGGGCCCGTTTTTTGGTCAAAAAATTGCATGCATAGCATTATGGAGGCTTATAGAGTGTTGCTGGGGGCAAAAATGGCCCATTTTGTGCTCATTTCTGCCCTCCCCAGCCCCCAGGAGCTCTCTGAAAGCCTCCATAAGGCTATGCACGGGCATTTTGGTGAAGGGGCGGGGCTTTGGGAGGCAAAAAATGCTGTATTTGGTGTATAAGACGCACTCAGATTTTCAGCCTCTTTTTTGAGGAAAAAAAGGTGTGTCTTATACTCTGGAAAATACAGGTAACTTATGACTTGGCAACTAACAATAACAACATAACCGTTGGTCACACAATTAAAATTAGGACGCTTGGTTAAAGGATAAAGAGGAATTGGTGTACTTAAAGAGATGGGGAAGATTTTATGAAAGGTTAGAGAGAGACATACAGAAGAGAAAGTAAGGGGAAGACATGGAACCCAGATGATACACCATTAAGTAGAAAAGGGGAAAATAGGGAAGAAAATAATAGTATATAAGTATATATTCAAAAGTAAGATACAAAGGGGGTGGGACATAATCAGGATAGATTTGAGAAGGAAAGGGAACAAGAAATGATATTCCACTATTTTTGGATCTGCGGAAATACCACCCCAAGAAAATAAAAAGTAAGAGCTGGAAGAGATACCTACAGCCATAGAAAAGAGAAAGGAAAAGAAGAGGAGAGGAGAGACTAGGAAGAGAGGGGAAGGAAGATAAGAGGAGAGGAGAGGAAGATGGAAAGGAAAAGGAGAGAGGGTAGGAAGGGGAAGAGGAAGAGAGGAGNGAAAGAAAGAAAGAAAGAAAGAGAGTCCTCGACTTACAGCTATTAGTTTAGCAATGGTTGTGATTCAAACAACAGCACTGAAAAAAAGTTACAACCAGTCCTTGCCTTGTGACCGTCGCAACCTCCCCACAGCTCCTTAATCAAAACACGGGCAGTCAGCCTGTGTTTAGGACGGTTCCAGAGTTCAAAGGTCACGCGATTGACCGTCCCAGTCGGCTTCCAACAAGCGAAGCCCAGGGGGAAAGGCAGATCTGCTTAATGACCATGTGATTCACATAATCACATTCAGGGATTCGCTTAACAACCACAAAGTTCATCAAATCAGATGAGCGACTCACTTAACAGCCGTCCTGCTCAGCACTCAGGAAATTCCGCTCCCAATTGGTCGTAAGTTGAGGACTCCCTGCAGACATCCGCAAATGGACAGAGGCCCTTTCACACCAGGGGTGTCAAGCTCAATTTCACTGACGCGTCAGCATTAGGGTTGACCTCAGAGGGCCACCTGCGTGTAATTCTAGGTGTCATATTATGATTTGGAGTTTGGAGTGGTGGGGTGGCCTAGAGGTGGAGCTCTCGCCGCACAATCAGGAGGCCGTGAGTTCAATCCTAGGTGGAGGCAGATATTTCTCTCTCTGGGCACGATGAGAATATATCGGCCGAACAAAACTCCGCATTGGCAACGGGGAAGGGCATCCGGCCAGTAAAACACTCCGCTAGTTCCATTCCGCTGCCCAGACTCCACCCCTCCAGAGATTATAGGGCCGTTAAAAGACAATGATGATATTAACTCAGGTTTCTTGATCAGCTTTGACCCGGGCCTGGCACAGGCCTCCCGCCTCGCCTTTCCTCCCGTCCTTGGGGGAGAGTCTGTGGTGAGAGTGGCCACTTGTGGGAAAGAAAGAGGAGGAGGGGAAGGCAGCAGGGCAGGGAGGGGTGAGAACGGAAGAAACCCACGTCCTTTCTCTTTCCTTCCCTCGCTCTCAGGCGGAGGGCGCTTTAACCATGCCCACCCCAGTGGTTATGGCTGGCGCACAGCTCCACGCATTGCAGAGACTCCCAGTGCCCGTCCTGGCCTGGCACTGTCGCCACTGACGAGACCCCTGAAGAAGCAAGGCGGTAACCATCACCTCCTCCTGCTGGCCTGCTTGCCCGCCAGATCTAAAGACATCACGGGCCGGATCTGCCCGGCGGGCCTTCTCCCCACCGCCCCCCCCAGAAAGCCAAGCGGGAGGCGACCTACCAGCCTTCCTCCTCTTCAGGGTGACGTAGGGCAAGAGGTCGTGGCGGGTGATGATCCTCAGCAGCTGCAGCACCTGGCGGAAGTTGGTCTCGTCGCAGCGGCCCTGTCGCTCCAGTGCCAGGAGGAAGTCCTGCCCGCTGCGGATCATGCCCCGCTCGTAGTCGTCGATGACGTCCACGAAGAGGAACGAGAGCACGCGGACGTCGCGGTGAGTCAGGTGGGTGCCCACGATGTCAAACATGCGGTGCAGGCTGTAGAGCCCGTGCTCCCGGTCGCCCTCCTCCTCCGGCCAGGCTTGCTGGTGGCTGCGCTTCAAGGTCGCCATCTTGGGCGTCTGCGAGAACCGGGCCCGTCCGCCCAGCATCCAGGGGAACGGAGGGGACGGCGGGTCTCCTTCAACGGGGGCACTGGAAGAGAGGAAAGCAGGCCCAGTCAGAGCCCCCCAGGGTGCAATTCAGGCTGAAGAGGGATTAGCTAGCCCTGAACGGCTCTGCCTAGGGACTTCATCTTGGGGAGGGGGGGGGCTTTGGTGCTCTGGGCCTTTCTTGCTCGCCTTTCATGACCCAACCAGGTAATAGCATCAGAACTAGAAGGGAGTGGGGTTTGCAGGGGGACGGGAGGAGGACTGTGGGGTCCCTGGGGCTCTCTGAGCATGGCTGCTTTCTTACAGATATTTCATGACCCAACTAGGTAACATTATCAGAACTAGAAAGGGGATGGGTGGAGAGAGAGAGAGAGAGACAGACAGACAGACAGCCAGAAGGAGGAGGAGGAGGAGGAGGAGGAGGAGGAGNTACTGACTCGAGGAGCAAGGGGAGGGCTGTTGTCATGCTGTTGGGAGGCAGGAACGTCAAAAACACGCCCACTTGACCCACAAGTTCCATCTTCACCAGCAAGGACTCACACCCGACAAGCTCCGGAGCAGGGATCCTACGAGGGACTAAGGACTTTCGGATAACAATGGCCACTCCCCCACCCCATTCTCTGGAGTTGCGGTTGATGAAGCACCTGAAAACCCTCTGGGCACATTTCAGTGAGGGGGACTCCTCCCTCCGGGCCCAGCCAGGTTTCAGTAATGCATGCCAGGTCTGTCCCCTTGTCTAAAATTAGGTCCCGGACGAGGGGAGCCTTGTGAACCACAGACCTGGCATTTAGCAACAACAACCTGAGACCAGGGCCCTGACTACTCACGCCATCTGGCCTTGGAGTGGAACTCATAGGGCTGGTAGGGGGATCTCTATGACATAGCGAACCCTCCTTCCCCGGTAATGGCTAGCTCTGAAGTCCCCGCCATATCTGCCCCTCCCTGTTATGACCGTAATGTTCCGGCCCACTCCCGTGTCCATGGTCCCTTCACCCTCCCCCATAGCCACCGGGTTCCCCGGCAGGCCCTTCGAATCAGACATCCTAAGGATGGGATTAGGCCTAGGCCCCTTTAACACTTCTGCAGAGCACTCAGTGCAGGAGGTACCCGGTCCCAGCCTTCTCAAACATACACAACCATACTATCAGACGATCCCCACAAACGATTTAAAACAAAATAACAACAATATGATTAATAAAAGTGGGTACATTCAATCAACCACAATCATACCACAGCACTCACCATACAGATTTAAAAATTTAAAAACTGCGTAGTAGTACCAAATGGAATTTGCTCAGAATTGTCCTGATATGGAAGAGGAAGTTAATGTCCCGATCCTCTCCCACAAGGGGCACCAAGGCCAAAAGTCCAAAAGTCTGAGAAAAACAGTATATTAACAACAGCTGGAGGGGGAAGGACATTCCCCGACCATGTCCTCTTTGTCCATTGCCCTCTCTCTCTGACAGGATGGAGATGCAGGATGATCGGCAGGGGCATAAATGGGGACCCAAAAGGTTCAGCAACAAAAACTGAGAGCAAACTCCACTCTTTAGTAGCACTGATGATGTTACCTACTTTGGGTAATGAAATGTCTGTAAGAAAACAACCAAGCTCAGAGAGCACCAAAAGACACTTTGTGAGTAATGTGTAAGACAGAAAGGGGGAAAATGCCACTTTTAGCTCTACAGCATTCATTGTAGAGCTGCAGGGATCCTTAATTTCATTTGACAAATGAATGAGTTACAGGGAAGGGCCAATTGTACTTTCATAGTTCATTGTTTTTTTATAGTCACGTCTTAGTGTAAAATGTGTTACACTACAATAGTTAGTGAGTTAATCTACAACAGGCAAAGAAGGTAGAAATCTCTAACTGGAGACATTAATTCACTATTTGAGCTTCAATTGCATTCTGTGCCTCTAGCTGGACGTATTTGATGCTTCTGAGAGATACCTACAAGCCAGCCACCCACTTATCATATTGGCTGGTAAGGAATATGGCTCAGGAAGTTCCCGGGACTGGGCTGCCAAGGGGCCTTTCCTGCTGGTAAGTAGGCTATTCTAGTAAGAGTGGGCTTCATGGCATCATAGGTTTGGATGAACCAATGGAGTCCACCTCTTGCTCTCCATTTTTTGTTATCTATTCATTCTCTGTGTCAAACACCTCTTTCTCCTAGGAATTTTTTTTCAGATATATACATTATTATAACATTATTTTACGTGGTAGTCTCAACTTACAATGGTTCATTTAGTGACTGAAATTACAATGGCACTGAAAAACCTGACTTATGACCTTTTTTTCACCCAGATGCCTGGCCACTGACTCATATTTTACATTCATAAATATAACGGTCACAGTCTCCTGGGGTCAAGTGGATCACCTTTTGTGACCTGACAAGCAAAGTCAGTGGGGAATTCACTTAACAGTGTTGCTACTAACTTAAAAACCTCAGTGATTCACTTACCAACTGTGGCAAGAAAGGTTATAAAATGGGGCAAAATTCACTGAACAAAATTATCTCACTGAGCAACAAAAATTTGGGGCTCAATTGTGGTCATAAGTGGAGGACTACTTGTGTTCTATGGGGGTGTGGAGAACAGATCTTGACTTTCGTGTCACAATTTAGCAGTTTAAAAAGTGCTGTCATATCCTCCCCCTCATTATTTTTTCTCAAAACTAATCAACATCTCTAATCATTCTCATTGCATTTCTTTGCCCCTCTTACTCTTTGATTGAATTCTTCTGAAAAAGTAGTGGCCAGATTTGGTCCTCACACTCCAAATGGCTTCTGACCAATAAAGTGGATTTGCATTTTACCAACCTTGTCATACTGTTGACTCCTGGGTCAGTAGTTCAATTCCAATTTTAAATTCTTTGCATAGATGCTGTCACCAAGCCCACTTGACCCTCAAGGTCAAGTATTTTAAATTCTGAATGGATATACTATTTGTAATGAAATGTAGTCCATATTTAATCCTAGTTAGACATTATGACTGAAGAGGCCATAATGCCAAAATTAAACACTGGGGTTTAGCAACAGGACATTCAAGGATATGAATGCATTTGTTTCTCCCAACTCTATATGTTCAGAGCCCAATGACATTATATTTTATTTTGGATGAATTTAACTTCCATAAATTCTAGATTAAAGTTCCAGACGGAAATATTCTGTTTCATTATTGTGATTTACACAATCCTAGTTTCAACCTCTATTATCCAACCGTTTATAGGATAAGACCCATGTTTGAAAATACTCATAGAATTCCTATTTATGATGGAATCAGCCTTAAGAATGGACCTGAGGCCTTTTCTCTGCATAGTTGCCCGGAAAATAATTAGCCACTTCTTTTCTACAACCTTTTTTTTTTTTAAAAAAAATTGACTATTAATGCCCTTGTATGTTCCTCAGGGTATCAAAGCAGTCCTTGCAGAGAGCTATGAGAGGATTCACCGCAGTAATCTGGTGGGCATGGGAGTCATCCCTCTACAGTATCTCCCTGGCCANACAACCTGAGACCAGGGTCCTGACTACTCCCGCCATCTGGCCTTGGAGTGGAACTAACAGGGCCGGAAGGAGGGATCCCTATGATGTAGGGGACCCTCCTTCCCCGGTAATGGCTCGCCCTGAAGTTCCCGCCATATCTGCCCCTCCCCATTATGACCCTAATGTTCCGGCCCACTCCCACATCTATGATCCCTCCACCCTCTCCCCTGGCTGCCGGATTCACTGGCAGGCCCTTCGACACACACATCTAAGGGCAGGATTAGGTCTGGGCCCCCCTGGCACTTCTGCCAAAGCACTCAGTGCAGGAGGTACCCAGCTATACTCCCAGCCCACCCACACATACACAAACATACAATCAGTCAATTCCCACGAACAAGTTAAAAACAAGGGAACAACAATATCGTAATAAAAGTGGGCACATCCAGTCAACCACAATCATACCAAGCGCTCTCCATACTGTTAAAAATTATAAAAATTAAAAAATTATTAAAAAACTGCGCAATAGAGCAATTGTTCAAATTTAGTCCGCAATAGCCGAGGAGGGAGTGATGTCCAAGACCTCCCACGTGAGGGCCCGAGGTCCAGAAAATGATGAGAGAGTAATATGGTGGCAACAATTAAAGAGAGAGCCACACTTCCCAGACACGACCTTCTCGACAAGCATCCTCTCTCTCGTTACTGCAATAAGCTTGCAGAAAGTCAGTGGGGGGTATAAACAGGAAGCTCAGAATAGCAATAAAGTCATAGGCTCTAATTCGCTCCCCAACGATGGTCCGGAGGGAAAGGCCAGGAAGTGTCTGGGAGGCAAGTAGGCCATAGGCGGTGGATATAACAGTGAAAGTTGTGGGGCCAGCCATAGGCGACGACAGGCCAGCAACGCCCCTTCCCTCGGGAGCAAAAGGACAGATGGGAGCCAGGGAAACCCAACAGTAAAAAGGGGGGGAAAGCCCCACTCCCAGCTGTACCGTAACACTCCCAGTGGTGGCAGCCAACTGGTAGGCCACCAGGCTAGCAACCCCACCCACACCCACACCCTAGCACTAACCTTAATCCTAACCTTAATCTAAACTAACCCCACCCTAATAATTCTAATCTAACCCTACCCTGTCCCTAGCCTGACCCTGCAGCAGCACAGGCAGCGTTAAAAGGCAACAGACAATCAAGGGGGTCAGGTCCCCCCAAAACAGTCTCCGATAGCTGTCTCCACAGTAGCCAAGACGGTCTC